TAAGGTTATTAGAGAAAACTTGTATGTACCTAAACTACTTAAAGAAATAATTATAATTATATTATACGTAATTTTAATGCGCTTAAGGCATGTACAATTGGATTTACCAATAGTTTCTTTTATATTTTATTCTTTTTCTTTATATATTTTTATGAGTCAAAAGTATCCTGATTCGGGGTTTTTCCAAACCTTTAAAAATTCATAACTCCGAAAATATGAACTTAATCGTTAAAAGTCACAGGATCTTTGTTATACGTATTTTATCAAAAAATATAAAAAATATATCTTTTATATTTTATTCCTTTTCTTCATATATTTTAACGAGGCAAAAGTATCTGAATTTAGGATTTTTCAAATATTTAAAAATTCATAACTCCGAAAATATTAACTTCATCGTAAAAAGTCACACGACCTTTTTAAAGTTATAAGGCGTTTGGAATAAATGATGAGAGCGAATTTTTTACGATGCGCCCGCACACCGACACCTAAAAGGGTCAACTTCAGTGGAAGTTAATTGTCTCTCAACTTTTTTTGTTTTTATACGCTAACGAAGTATAACTTCCGAAGTGCGTACGTAAGTACACACACTTTTTTATTCATATTTTATTAAAGAATATAAAAGAAATATCTTTTACGTTTTATTATTTTTCTTTATATATTTTTAATTACTCGAAAGTATCTGAATTTGAGATTTTTCATACTTTTAAAGATTTATAACTCCGAAAATATTAACTTTATCGTAAAAAATCATAAGATATTTTTAATTTGTCTTTCATCAAAAGATATAAAAAAAATGTCCCGTTTGAAAATAACCATTACTTGCAATTGAAAAAAATATGGGTTTAAACAATATGGCACCGAGTTGCCATGATATAAATTCATCGCAACATGCATTTATATCCTCAATAAGACTATTTGAACAGAATCGTATAAAAGAATTGACGTGGAATAGTTTTCGGTACTCATGCGCCGATTCCTCCTGGACTAATTGGGAATTTTATTGATTATTTGTTTTTTTTTTATTAAATAGGGTATACTTTTTCAGGGAAGTCTGAAGTATGTCAACATGTTCAGTATCGTCCCAACCATTATATCAGATCTGATAGACAACAAATCCTCGCAATAGAACATCGATTCCTACCAAGGATAATTCCCGAAGCCATTGAAATTAAAAACATCCTAACTTCAAACCCGAGCATACTACTGCAAGATTTCAAGATACTGTAAGCTCGTCCTGCGTAGATCGGACCAAACATTATTAGTTAAAAGTTGATTGTAGTCTTCGTAAACTTAAACAACGCATGAAATGTTCGCCTTGTTGTGGCGGCGAAAGAGAACCCGCCACCTCGTATAGTTCCGTATGTGTCCTAAGAGGAGACAGAGGAAAACAAACAGGAGACAGGCAACATCATCCTCCTGACAATAGTTTAAAATAATAAAAGCTGCGGTTGCCAACCCGCCTGCCAAGCGTGGCGACTATAGCAAATATCCAGCCTATTTGACAATTTATGCCGGAGACCTATGTTCAGTTCAGTGCACTTTTGATAGGTTGTAATGATAACGATGATGAGTTCTATTCTTTCGAATCTTTGCTACCGTTAATATTTACGGTAGTGTGAAAACAAAAAAGTAACATCTGCGAAAATATGAATGAAATAAAAACAGCATAATTGCCCCATTAAAACTAAAAAAGTAGCAACCTACATAGGTACATGTCACTACTGGACACATAGCAACAAACAGTGATAAATATCATTAAATGACACCATTTCGCGAAATAATGATTTAATGGAAATATTGCAATATTGGCAGGCAGACCAGTTTTAATCAGTTTAGTATGAATTGATGTTTTTTAGTTAAAAAAAATATCAACTCGTATATGTCACTATAATGTATTATTTTTTTAATTTTTATTACTACACTTTTAAAGTAAAATAATGATTAAATTAAACGTTAGGATTTTTAAATAATTTTATAAATGTAATTACTTAAATATATAAATGTCATTTATTTATATTATTTAATTTATTAGTTACTAAAGGCAAAATATAGGCTTTTTTCATTTGATGATCAGCGGAGTTTCAAATTGTTATGTAGGTAATTTTAAACTTTATTTACAAATTTGATATTTATTTGAAAAAACACCCGTCATCCCGCATATTAACTAACATAATCATATATAATAAAAAGTTAACATCTAAAGGAAGAAAAATACTTAACCGTCTTTTTTAAGTTCCGTAATCGGATAAAAGTAGCCTATAAGTTGCCCCGGGTTACTATCTACCTACATATGAAATTTAATGGATATCGGTCCAGTAGTTTTTGCGTGAATCGGTAATACACAGACAGACAGACAAACAGACAAAAATTATAAAAACCACTAATTTGGCTTCAGTGCTCTTTATTTAGTCCCCTGGACTTGTTTTGTTCAAGAGTATATTATAATTACAGACACGACTTTTCTACACATTTATTATATGTATAGATATAGATGTCTATCAACCGCTAATATCATACTACATCTCATAGACAGATATCAAAGTATGTTCTAAGTCTATGCTACAAAGTAATATTTTTTTAGTATATTAATAAATTATTAATATACTAAAAAATATAATAATTCTTTATAGTATATTAATAAAAATCTGATGTGTTTTTATTAGTATACTATAAAGTTTATTAATAAAAAACATCAGAGCTTCATCTTAATATAGTGAGAAAAAATGAGAATTGCGTTTATAAAATAGTGTCTTTTTATTTTATTTTTTAATTAAAATTAAAAGAGATTATTGATCATATTACTTAGTATTTCTACCGATAACGACAGAAAATTCCGAGATTATATTATATATTGACGTTCCGGTATGGGTCTCCTAGTTTACCCTCAATATAATTATGCAATAGCCACGAAGCTCCTGCTTGTGGATCGGATAAAGTTTCTGACGCAATTGAAACTCCATTATCGGCGCATATTACAGAAGGCAATCTCGATAAAACCTAATTATGAGAATCGTCAGTATAAGGGAATTGGAATTATTTAAATATGATTTTAAATTTTTTAGGAATACATTTAAATATAACATCTTAAAATTTTTTTTCGAATAGCATATATATGTATATGTTATTAATGTTAAAATTTTAAAACAACAGACAATTTTAACTATAAGTATTGTTTACCAAGTAAAAAACCCTAAACAGAAACAGAAACAGAAACTTTTTTATTCAATATAGATTATAAATAATACTTATTGAAAGTCACTCTTTTGTTTGATTACCACTGGTTCGGAAAAAACCTCTGTCCTGGGAAGAACCAGCAAGAAACCCAGCGGGACTTTTTTTTTAAATAACAGCTTACAATCATGATGTTACACAAATTAACAACACAACAAATTAGAAATAGCTTGGTAGCGATCACCTCATTTCCAGGGGTTATTATCATCCATAAATTCCTTAATATTATAATAACCCTTTTTATACAAACTTAGTTTAATAAAGTTTTTGAACTTTGAACAGGTCAAACTTTGTATATTTTCTGGAATTTTGTTGTAAAAGCGTATACATCGCCCCAAGAATGAATTACTGACTCGATGGAGTCGAGTAACTGGTAAATATAAATCTTTACATTAATATGAAAACATATAGATTACTTAAGAGAAAGTTAAAGATATAGAAGAGTGAATGAAGGACACAGAGTAAATGGTGCTCTTCACTTTGTTGTGGAAAGTCGCAATGTGCCATAAAAGGCACGTACTCAGATGAAGTTTTTACTTCATCTGAGGGCACGTATTGTATAGTAGTAAAATTTGGGTGTGGCAGAAAAAAAACAAAAAATAGAATTAATGCTACAGAAAAGCGATCATTAAGAAGCATTCATTCCATAACTGAATGATAGACTTAGAAGTTGCATGATAATTTCTTTATTAATTTGCATCATAATTTAGATTCAGAAATGATTACTTCAGTGATTTTGGCACGCAGATAGATTGAATGAGAAAAAAAAGTAAAAAGTAAATTTATGCTGTAGACAGAGTCGGAATGGGACGCCCTAGAGCCCTAAATGGATGTTTATCGACCGCGATTATTTGCCGATAGGTATATTAAAGATGGGCCAAATTTAGAGTACTCTTGACCAACCAGCATATGTGTGTCAAGATTCTCCGCTAGGAGTAAAAGTATTCTGTGGTCAGGATCGTGTCGATTAAAAGTAATCGTAATCTCTTTCTAACACCCTCTGGGTGATAGACGTGAGAGTTCATCATTATGATATGATCTGATACTTAAATGAACGTAATTAAATAAAATAAAGATTATAATCATATTTTATACAACATTAACATTGTAACGCTATAAATTCGAGGATAAAATATAAAATTATCTTAGTATATATAGGTACTCATTGGAAAGCTATGTTACGTGTTGAATAAAACCATTACCGACTCCATAAAATTACCAATAAACGGCAATGTAGAACGGAACTATCGCGTGTACTGCAAACATATCCATGACTTCTTCACACGGAATGCATAGTGTTTTAATAACAATTTATTGTTTGAAATATAAAGAGACAGAAGTTTTGCTTAAAATACTTTCTTAAATTATCACTTTTATAAGGAAGAAAACAGTGGTTCTCAATTTGGATGGGTGCAATCTGATCCTACAAAAAATACCATTATAAAATTACCTTTGACAACTTGTTCAACCATGTTTCCAAACAATATTTGCAAATTATTCAAAAAACTATAGAGGAAACGTTTTTAAACTTTTACAATACCAATCAATTAAGTTTATTAATGAGAGTAAGGCAAAAGCCCATATTCTTCCAAAATAATATTGTGTGGTAACACAAATGTAAATTCAATATATTTGTGTTACCACAAATTCTTTCATAATAACCGAATAACAGAATAAGTCTGTGAGTTTCCTCACGAGGGTTACGTTGAATATTGAACAATTGGTGAAATAAAGTGATGCATCATTGTTTGTATGTTTTCCATACTCACCTCACTTTAATGTCGGACGGATTTTCATCTCCAAGTGCCCGACAAAGCCTCGGTATCAAGCCAGGCTTAGACTCTGTCCCCATCATAGTGTAGGTTTTGCCTGTCGCGCTTTGTCCGTATGCGAGCACACAAGCAGATACACCCTGTGACATACTTGTCAACACTTCTTGACCGATGGTTTCGAATATCTAATAATTATAATAAAGAAATAATATTATCAACATTTAAAAAAATATCTTCACAATACCTCACATAGCCAATAAAACAAAATAAAGAACAATAAAAATGTTCCGACCATACAAGTTACGGTCAAAATTAAATATGAGCGCCGCGCCGGCACGCCGCCATCGCCGTGAGTTCATGTCGCCGCCGCGTGAAGAACGCGGCGCGCCATCGCGACGTGTCGCAACTTCTTTTCCCGCTCACACGCGCGGCCCGACCGTATTAGTTCGTCTTGTCGTGTCGCCTCGCTCGTCGCTCACTCAGTCGAGTCGAAGATTTCACCGAGTGAATGTGTATAGTTGTGTGGTGTTAACAATGGCAGCAACTTCGACTGTTGCACGTATGGGCCGGCTCAAGCCGGGGTAGTACCACGACCTCACAGAATACCGGTGTGAAGTGGAAGATCTGCTTCTCAAGCTGCTCCACTCCTGAGGAAGGATTTACCACTCCTGGGTGCTCAGCCTACCCCACGTATTCTGGGGGAGGGGGGGAGCAAAATTCCGCTCAAGACAAAAACTACTCGGGGCAAGCTGAGCAACAAGGCCAAGGCGACCCCTGCCACGTGACTTTCTGCAACATAAGGGGACTTCACTCGAACCTAAACGCCGTCCACTACCATCTCGAGACGGCGAAGCCGGCCTTACTCTTTCTGACCGAGACGCAGTTGTTCTCTCCGCTTGATACTTCGTATCACTCCTACCCGGGGTACAAATTAGAACACACCTTATACCTCGGGCTCGAGTTTGCGTATACATCAGAGAGGACTTCTCGACGCCTCGGCAGTCTTGAAGGACCTGTTCATCCTTTGGCTACGCGTAGACAGCGACGACCATCCGCATGTTTACGGGTGCCTCTATAGATCCCATAGCGGTAATGCCGAAACAGAGAGATTCATCGACCACTTTCAAATGGCTACAGATTCCTTGCTACAGCAGCTCCCATCCGCAGAGATTGTGATACCCGGCGATTGTAACGCCCACCATGCCGAATGGCTCGGTTCATGTTTAACCGATCATGCGGGAGATCTGTTCATGATTTTGCCTTGGCACATGGTCTGACATAACTGGTAACTTCGCCGACGCGGATTCCAGACGTGGAAGATCATGCACCTTCCCTGTTGGACCTTCTGCTGACCTCTCATTCAGATAGATATCAGGTTTCCATCCACTCCCCTCTTGGCTCTTCAGATCATTGTCGAGTCCGGAGTGTGGTACCACTCACACTAACGTCTGCATTCTGCAGGCTAGCTAAAAAAGACGACCGCTCAGACACGTCTAGCTATGCCTATCGCCATCACCTTGTTCTCCAAAGTAATGGAATCCATTATAAACTGCCAGCTCATGCGGTATCTTGAGGATCACCAGCTGATTAGTGACCGCCAATACGGTTTTCGTCGGGGTCAATCAGCTGGTGATCTTCTGATCTACTTCACTCATAGATGGGCGGAGGCATAAGAGTCCAAGGGGAGGCATTGGCCGTTACTTTGGACATTGCGAAGGCATTTCGATCGGGTTTGGCACAAAGCGCTTCTTTCAAAGCTCCCTTTCTATGGGCTTCCCAAGAAATTGTGCAACTGAATCACTAGCTTTCTTGCAGATCAGAGCATCTCCTCAGTTTCAAGGCACTCCCCTCGTTGCCGCAGCCAGTATCGGAATCCTCGGCGTCGACATATCGAGTGACGTGCAAGTTTCGTGATCACTTGGAAGAGAAGGCCAAATTGGCCTCTAAAACGCTTTGCGTGCTCAGCAGAGCGGGACAGTATTTCATGCCGGCACACCGCCTGCAACTTTACAAGGCGTAGTTTCGGCCTCACATGGAATACTGTTCCCATCACTGGGCTGGGGCTCTCCAGGGCTTTATTAAAAAATATAAAGCTGTTTTTGGTACCAACAATATGGTTTTCTTTAAGTTTTTTTTAAGAGATCTCTTCCTGATAAAACAATATCGCCGCCGCCGCGAAAATTTTCAGGCCACGTCGAGGCCGTGGAATTGACCTTCGGCGCTCATATCTAGTCACAATACGAAATCACACTAAAAGTTTTGCGTAACTCATAAATAAAACAATTTATATGTTAACTAATATTAAACTAATTTCCCGCTTTACAAATTCTCCACAATATTATAAACACTTTTTCATTCGTTCAAACCATTATTGTGCAATAGGATGCGACTTCTTGGTCGTTTTTCCCTATCTTTTTCAAAGACACTGGGCTAACAAATGGTGGTGTATTAAGGCGCGTCTCCACCAAAAATGTTGACAACATTTATGTTTCCGACTGTTGACAAATCAACAAAAGTTGACGACATTTGTTTCAAAATGTTGCAAGAAGCGTCTCCACCGGGGGAACAAATGTCGGCAACAAGCGTATTCCTTTGATGTTGCCGCCGAAAATGGAAACACGATTCCCGACATTGTTTCGTTTTATTGCTAAAACTAGGTGATTACAGAAACATTTGTCGGCAACACGTGTTGACAAATGTTGAAAAGTTTTGTGGAGACGCGTCATTATTTAGCATTAACTGTTTTTTGCTCATCAAGTGAGCTCGTGCAGACAAGACCCGTCTGAGAGGAAAAAAGGAGCGCAAGCGCAGAACTTTCGGTGCAGCCTATGTATTTTTTTTATCGAAATTCTTGTTCGATAATTTAAACCCTATGGAGCTTTGTATGATCTTGTAGTGGATAACTGTAGTGCAAACATTTTTGATGCGAGAAACATACAACCACAGAGGAAATAGAAAGAGGAGATTGTGTTCTGTTGTATTCTGTGCACTGTGATTCTAACTAGGTTATTAAAAAGAAAAATCTCTGCGTCGGCTTTCAAATGAATTTGGGAACTAAAAGTGTAAAGGTACGCAGAGCTCAGTATTGGTAAAATAATCATACGAAGGTGTTGAAATTTGTTTTGCATTCAGTTCTAAAGAATTTTTAATCGTCAAAATATTATTTTTATAGTTTTTATAATCATTTTGTGAACAGGCCGCCACCTATCGTCAAGGTAGCTAAATTACATTACAACATCGAAATGGGACGATGCGAGTAGTTTTACTATTTATCGGTAGATGGAAATAATAAAGTGGGCGGGGCTTAACATCCCCTCATTCCGCAAAAATGTCACGCGTGATTACATAGTGAAATCTAATTACAACACATCCTTTTTGTATTTGCTTCACGCATACAGCACACAGACGCTTTTTATCCAAGCTCAAAAAAAGAGGGGATTCTCAATACAGCTGGGTTTTTTATATAAATGCATGTTACGCGATATCTTCGCCTATTGTGAACCGATTTTGGTGACTCGTTTTTTTTTAATGCTAAGGTCAAAATCATCTACGTTAAAGTCTTCAGGAGTAATCATACCTATGGGTTAGAAACTTAGAAATAGGGGATGAAGTTTTTAATGTAACTATTTGAAAGGAATTAGTTGTTATCTTGAGCGTATGATACTCTTTAGCCTAAAATTTTACTTTTAATAAAAAGTAAAAGCCAACTTCGAAGAACTGAAAGGAACTAAATAATTTCCACATAATAGCTTCTGAAGTCGAGTTTAAATTTTTTAATTCATCTATTCAATGCCTATATCTTAGCAGCGACAGAAGCTAATATGTGAAAATTATTTTATTCTTTGTCCTCTAACGAGGATTAGTGCCGCCGTAGAACGGCTGGTACTAATCAAGCCGCAAATATATTATGCGAAAGTGTTCCCATGCCCCTGACTATGTGCGGTGAAGGTAAAACACCATAGGGTTTTAGTCGGATCGATTCTGACATAACCCGTCCTTGTCCTTGCGAGGCATGTTAGCTCGTGTTTTTTTTTTTAAATTAGTAACGTTAAGCTATTGTCTGAATTTGAAGATCTGAAGATTTTTCCAGTCAAGTCCTATTCTAATCCTGACAAGTGTCATATACTAATCAAATTATTTTTAGTATTTCCTTTATTTCAATCGATTTAAAAAAACGAGTAGTTGGATTATTCTTTGAAACTCAATTTTGACATGATTTTCACTAAAGAACACATCAAAATAATATCCAATTAAAATGTCAATTTCAAATTTAATTTTAAACAAAAATGTCTATCGAGGCCTTATGTATTTAAATGCAATTAAGTAAAATAAACTTAATTTAAGTTAACAGTTAAAATCTAATTAATCTGGCGCGTCCAAATACCGCTTTTTGTTGAACTATACTATTTTCTGAAATTACCTTCCGCAATAGACTAAGATTAGTAAGTTGTATCGATATTTGAATATCTGTTTCTTAATGATTTCATATTTAAATCCAAAATAATTAAATGTTCTCGAAATAAAATAAAATTAAAAATTGTCCGCGACTAAAGTAATCATTCATCTGGCTCAATACGTCGGAGCATGAATTTAACGTATGTCTCAAAATATTCCATTAAATTATACGAGCGTTGCCACTTTAGTGATTTTGTCACTAGATTTAGTGAATTTTTGGAGATAGATAGTGATATTGTGAAAAAGAAAATCACTAAAAAATATTTGATGACTTTTAGTGATATTTATCATATCTTGAAGAATTTAGAAAATACCTATTAGTAACCCTTTTTACCTGTCGGTAAATTCCAAAAGTTTATGTCAAAACAGCACTATCCTTTTTCTGACATAACAAAAACGTAATAAGACATCTTTGTTTGGTTATGCTAAGCTTACCTTGTACTTTTCCCGACTAATAATGAGGATCTAACACGTATGTAAAGTTGGTTTCAGTAAGTGATGAATACTGAATGGTTGATATATTGAAATGTAAGAAGGTCGCCTAATAAAAAAACCTAATTGGAATCGGGGTAGATGCCTCTGTCTTGACTGGAATCAATAATGGCGTACGCATACCTAATTAAATTGTAGTCAGATGTGTTTGCCACTCATGCACTCATTCACACTGTTTCACATGTGTCAGAGCAAACGTTACTGCGAAATATAGAGTTTCTCATTACAGAAACTTCGAATTAGTTCTCACATTCACCCAAACGCTGTGATGAGTACAAAGATATATATGAGACAGTAAATTGTGCTAAGAATGCTTTAAAAATATTGCACTCTTGTGATTTTCGTTGGCTATCCTTTGAAGAAACTGTGACCAGGAGGCCGTCTCGATTTCATATGTTGTGTTTATTGTAATAATTTCCACAATTAAAATAGTATTTTTATTACATACCACGTGATTTGATTTTAAATAATTTGGTGAATTCTAGGGATTTATTTAAGTAAAAATATCCCTAAATCTGGTGAAATTTCAGACCATAACTAGTGATAAATTTTTCTGCAAGGTGGCAACACTGATTATATCGACTCGTGATTGTTCGCGCCAGTCACTCCCGACCCGTCATACGCTGCATTAGTGCCGGCGTTTGTTACATCGAAAAACTACGATACAATCTCGTGATCTGGCATTTGTCAGGTAAGTAGTATAATTAATCAGTCTTTGTTTATAGATATTGTGCGCATGCTTACGTTTTGTAATTAAAACATAATGTCTTATTAGATTATTTATCACTATTAATTAGGTTTTTCATTTTTTACAATTATAAATACAGGAGTAGGATTTGCTTTTCTTCAAATTCCTCATTTGTCTGGCTCTCATTAGTCTAATTTCATCTGGCTCTTAAGACCAGATGAATTTGAACGGGTCAGATGAATTAGATTCAATCCACATATCATTTGAATTGGTACAGAATTGTGATTTTGTGTTCCAGATTTTTTGAATATCTTTAAGCTGTACATGTTAAAGCCTATAAAGTAACATCTACTACATTAAAAAGGTACGAATTGGGCTAAGTATTTACATCCCACTTCAGATCTGTATTTTTTAAATGGCAAAATCAAAGAAACAGTCAAGAGAAGAAAGGCTTAGAAAAAGGCTAGCAGAAAAAAAGAGATATGAAAGAATAAAAAATATATAATAGGCAAAGCCACATACGTAGAAAGGAGGAAAAGAAACAGCTACCAATAAACGAAATGAATCCTAGACAACAAAGGTTACAAAGATTGAGAAAGAATTACAGGTCATATTACTTAAGAAAAAAGCAAGAAAAAAAACGGCGGCCCTACTTACTCAAAACACCCCACCATAAAGTCCCAGCGTTATGTCGGATACTGAACTGATAGCTTTACAAGAAAACATTTGTGATCCGTCACCTTTAGAAAACCCGTTTTTATGCAGAGAACCGGAGTCGCCTATACCAGGACCATCTAGGATTTTGCGCAGTATGTCTCAACAGAGCAATGGCTTATCATCTCACTTAGGAATACGTACACCGAATAAATCTCCTTCATGTTCTTCACCTATAACTGCCGCCGTAAGACGCACACATTACATAAAAGATAAAGAGATAAATAATTTAAAAAATAATAATAAATACGAAGCGACAGAATGAACGTTATCGGAAACAACTGCATAGGCTAGTAAAGGCAAAAACAAAAGAAGGACCTTTAGCTTTAGATATGCCCAATCAAAATAAAATAGTTCTTAAAATAAAGCGCATAGTAAATAAGTCTAATGAAACACTGAATCATAATTTAAAATCTTTGCCTGAACTACTGATAAAAGAAGTCGAAGGATCTTATGAAGATGGTGAAAATAGTCGCCTATGCTCTGGGAAGAAGGAATTTATAGTAAGAAAAAAGATACGTAAACAAAAGCGGTACCTTAGCGATAGTCTTCCCAATTTGCATAAAAAGTTTCTCAAAACCTCATATTATACTATCAGCTATTCAGCATTCTGCAAACTAAGACCTTTTTGGGTGGTGCTTCCTGATTCTCGATCACGAGATACTTGTTTATGCAAATTGCATACCAATATGGAATTAATAGTGCAAGGATTGTATCAGAGGAAGATATTATCAGCTAAGACCTCCCAAGATCTTCTCGCTTTACTATGTTGTGACTTGTATGACGTGGATTGTTTGCATCGAACGTGTTTAGCATGCAGGAAAATGGAAGTCTGTTATCAGGAATTTGATAATCCTATTGAAATTGCGTAGTGGCAGTGGGAAACTAAACAAGACATGATTCAGAGAACGGAAAGAAAAATAAGAACTACTGAAAAAATAAAAATACGAGAACCTACGAAGTGTATCGAAAAATTTGAATCAACACTGAATAAGTATTTCATGCATTTTGGTAATATAGTTGCTCAACAAAAAGCTTTCAGAAACTTAAAAGAACGTCTTCAAGAGGTTGAGTGTATTATTCACATTGATTATAGCGAAAATTATGCAGTTAAGTGTAATGAAGAAATACAGTTCTACCATTTCGGTGGTAGTCGTAAACAATTAACTTTACATACGTCGGTAATATATTTTCTGAATGATGAGAATATAAAGCAAATACAATCTTTTTGTACGGTGATTGAATGCCTGCGCTATGACATTTCAGCCGTATGGGCTCACATCGTACCAATCCTCTAATATATTGGTGAAACAAAGACAGGCATTCACACTATACATTTTATTTCTGATTCCCCATCCAGTCAGTATCGTAACAAAAAGATGGAAAAGATGGAACTATATTGAATCTGGTCATGGAAAGACGGAGTAGGTGCTATGAAAAGAATTGCGGATCAAGCTGTCTCCCAAGGGCAAGACATAAAAGGTCTAGATGATTTTTTAAATATTATGGACCAAAACTTAAAGAAAGTGAAAGTGAGAACAGTTTCTGAAGATGACATAAGTGAAAAGGACTTGCTTTTCCCACCTAGTATGAAAGATTTTCCAGGATGCAAGAAAATGCATCAAATAGTATGTATGTATATATAAATAGACCTATAATAATGGGCATTTAATTGACTTCGACTGCATTGATGATGTTCTCATTTTATTTATATTGAAGTCGGTTGTACAATTTTTTTTTAATTTGACCACTTGTTAAAAGGCAAGAGGTATGCAAAACGAAGATTCCTTAATTCTACTTAATTTTAAAATATTGTTTACAATACAAATACCCTTTCTTGAGACGCATAGTGTTGCTGTGTAACGCAACAAGCGCTGTTGAAGGTATAGTCAGCAAAGTATCGACGTAGACGCTCACGACTGTCTCCCGCGCCAGATGCGTTTACCTGAACAAGTTGCAGTTATGTACGGTTAACTTTTTTTTTATAGGATAAGGGTGACAAACGAGCACACAGTCCACCTGATGGTAAATGGTTGCTGTGGCCCATAAACATCTACATCTATTCGAATCGATTACGAATCAAAATGCAGATGCGTTGTCTCCCCTGAGGACTTACATGAAATGCCTCATTTCCAGTAAAAAGGGTCACCGGTTCTCTACACTCACTATATAAGCTGCTATTTTACGCTGGTATTCTGTGAGAGCGTGGTCCTTCCCCGGTTGAGCCGACCCATTCGTGCTACATCTATACCAGTAATATAGCTGTAGCAAGGCTCTACCACGTAAAATAATTTTGCTGTGTTTCATTTGGTATTATTTGTAACGAGGCATTCCATTTTAGTACTCAGAGGTGAAAGGCCAAAAAATTCATTGTCATCTGGTGAACTGTACGCTTGTATGTTTTGTATAAAATCACAATACATAAATACATCCATATAGATTTCCAGTTGCATTTTATTCGAAATCGAGATGTAGATGTCTATGGGCCACAGTAACCACTTACCATCAGGTGGACAGTGTGCTCGTTTGTCACCCTTATTCTATAAAAAAAGAAACATTACTACTCGTATTTCACGCTGATATACCGTGTAAGAATGTGAACTATTCGTGCTGCAGCCTTAATACGCTGGAACGTAACTCTACCACGTACGTGTGTGTATGTTTGTATATCTTTTCCTTTGTGACTTCTAATACCCTACACGCCTTAAATAATTTTGAAGGTTGAAGTGTCGGCAAACTATTTTACCAATGGTAAAAAGTAATAAAAAAGAGACATAAGCATAACTTACTTTTATGTTTGTTATTGTAACTGTATGTTCATCGCTCACACACACAACTGCAACTCGATCTTTTTCAGATTTAAGTTCCCTACAAGAAGATAATTTTATTTAAATGAAACAAGTCTAATAATATAACAAATAGAAATACCCAATGATTTACTAACTTCTCCGTAAACGGTCTCACTCTTATACCCAGTTTAACTGTAGTCATATTAATAATTTATAAACATAATCTAAATGAAACTTATTTTTAAAGAAAAACTTTCACAGTCTAAATAGAAGAAATTTTAAAATTCTTATCAAATGAAGATGCACTTTCGATCTTCGTCAGTCGAAGTTATTTTAAACACTGCGGGAGCGAGAACTTCCTGCGTTACAGATTACAGACACAGGAGCTTGAAAAGTAAAATTAGTTCTACGTGAAATATAAGTTACTTGTGTTATTTACATAAGCATGATACGATATGTTATAGATTTGCAGCAGAACGGTCATCAATGTTAAGAGAAAATCGCTTATACTTACAAGATATCTTTTAGCTTATATATTTCTTTACCGAAACATAACATAATATCATAAAGTAGTATGAAACACAGTTAATATCCGCATTACGTAAGTACTTGTTTAAAACATTTTTTGTGCTTTTGATTAAAACTATAAATCAACTTAATCGATTTTCACCAATAGTTAAGGAATTTCTTCAGAAAGTGTTTCGTGAAATAAATCAATAACGGAGGAATAGTAGATAAATGTTGGCATTTTGTGATCAGATCACTTAATTTATGGATCCCAACGAATTTCAAACAGGGCCACTTCAATTACTTTTACCAGTTCAGAGCTTTCTTTCTTTCCTTCTTTCTTTCTTTCTTTAAAAAGAAAGAAAAAAAGAAAAAGAGAGCTGATGTCTTAATACAAAAAATTACGTGTCACATTGTTTGTCCACTATGAACTCCTCAACTACTGAACTGATTTCAATGAAATTTTGCTATATAGGATAGTTTTTATTTAAGTTTGTGTACCGTGTTGTGTATCACCGATAAGTGACCCTCAATTATTTGACCCGCGAATTAAAGGATTTTTTATAAGACAAAGGATCGTAAGAAAGGGCAAAAACAACATCTACCTGGCCAGCTAGAACAAAAATAAAAAAGCACATTATTGTCGCGAATTCAATGTCTTATATTAGTTAATTTCATAGTTGTATGAAATTATATAATTTACCTAGCAAATTGAAGTTTTTTTTTTATATTTTTTTATTTCTATTATACAAACTATTCACCCATGCAAACGATGCATCTTTACCAATGCAGTGGCAGTTTATTGATGCCCTTCTTGAAGAAATCAGCTGGACGGGGGAGGCAATAAATTCTACAAAGGCATTTTGTTCTACCTCTCGAGTATTTAATTTTTTCCCGCCAAAAAGTTATTCAAATTCTGGAATAAATAGAAGTCTGTAGGAGTACTGCGAATGACGGAGAGCTTCCAACCCCAACTCTTGTATCTTGGAGATCGTCTGTAGTATAGTATGAGGTCACGCGTTGCCGTGCAGGAGCAGCGAGGACGAGCAATTGATCAAACCTGGTTGGAGACGTGCAAACTTCTCCATCATTGTGTTCAGTTCTTCACAGTACCTACACATCTGCAGTAATGCTCATCCCGTTTGGTAAGAAGCTGGGATGAATCACACCGGCGCTAGACCACCAAACAGTGACCATCGCCTTTCTAAGTGTAAGTTATCATTTAAGGCATTGTTTACGTGCTGAACCAGAATACAATCAACTTGCTGAGCATTTGCTTTTGTCAAACAGAATTCATTTAATCATCATCAATCATTTAATTCATCCATGTAACAATGTGGTTCAAATTTCCTTCGTTTGTGGGCCCATTGAGCAGTGCAAGGCACGTCTCGATGCGTACTTCGCAGCGATCATTGAGTTCGTTGGGCACCCATTTGTCAAGATTTTTTACCTTGGCAATTTGACGCAAATAGACCAATATGTTTTGATGCTAATGTCGAAAGCTGCTGCTAATTCAACCGTAGATTGAACATTATCAGCTTCCACAATCGCCTTTAATTCGTATTGTCGACCAAAGTTTTCGGACAACCATGGGGTTCATTTTCCAGTTTGAAATGTCCAGAACGGAAGCGGGCAAACCAATAAAGGGTGGTGCATTCGAATACTACAGGTATTCGCTCTGTAAACGTCGTTGATTTTGCGCGCCGCTTGTATGTGCCGCGTTGCCGCGAGCCTTTCTAAAGTGCTAGTTTTCTCCCCTTTAAATATTGACTACTGTAACTGTAACACAGGCTATCGTAGCACAGGAATCAAAGATCACTGTTTGCACATTTCGTATTCTGTACTTGAAAGTAATCAAATTATAAAATTGTAATTTTTGTAAGTTTTCTTTCGTGTGTGTCAATAAATTATTATTATTATTATTATTATTATTACTTATAAAATTCCAATGTGTAATTAAATTAAATTAATTTTGCAGCAGTAAAATGTTTTTTTAAATGACTGAAGACCCTGATTCCGATCCCGATCCTAGCAAATCCATTAAAATCTTCCAAAAACTGAAATAATTTTTTAAACTCCCGAAACAAAAAGAGCTGATGATATTCAAACGGCAAAATAGATTTTCTTGAAATATAGCTAAGAAAACTGCGATTCACCTTTTAAACAAAAAAAACTTAATCAAAATCAGTTCATCCGTTTAGGAGCTATGATGCCACAGACAGACACACAGATACACACTATTTTCGTCGGGGTTAAAAACCTCACAATATGACAATTCACCATATTGTGAGAATATTGTAAACACAATACCAAAATCAAACTAGGCTGTATGGACATAGAATAGAACCTTTTAAAAAGTAAAAAAATTGAGAATGACATTATGACAATGACATTGACAATTAACATTAAACAATTTATTTTCGTTTTGCATTTTCGTCAAGTTTCGTTTTTCCACTTTTCTAGCTTCGGCTGTAAACATCGTTAATATCTGTTGACAATAAATTGTCTTAACGATTCGTATATTTTTGTATAGTTTACGAACCCGTACTGCATGTAGTGCTTACTTATCAAAAGTCATTCCTTAAAAAATAAAAAAAGGTACTGTAGTAAAGGTAGGTTTCACTTTTTTTGCGATTTATTGTAATTATAAACTAAATATAAATCTACAATTCAATCTTTGAAACTAAAATTATACCTATACAAAATTATGTGTTCTATCATAATCATAAACGTATTAATATTTATTAACATAAGCGTATTAACATTTCATCCTCATAAGTAATTTGTCTTATTAATATACAGCATAAAGAGAAAGTTTTTATCATATTACCGAGTAACGAGAAATTACTAACCTTATTAATAGATTCGACATTTAATTTTTTATATTATTATATTATATAATTACTATATTTGAACAACTTCCTAGTAATATAGAATCATTATTTATATTCCTTAATATGATTGATATATTCCTTTATATTTTGAAACTGCTGAGATGCTTATTATATGATTTATATAATAGTCAACTAATGAATTAAGTGCAATTTAATATTTATTATTGTTATTTATGACCATGTAACAGCAGTGTAAGAATATCCACAACTCCATATTGTCCTGTAGATTTTGTAAGAAGCGGCAGAGGTAAATAGACCGAGAAATGGACAGCAGCATCTTCCCAAAACAATTAAAAAACAAACACTGCTGTTGCCAACCCGCCGGCCCAGTGTTGCAACTATGGCCAATAAAAATAATGTCCTCCAGACCGAATTTCAATCACAGCGGCCAGTCTCATTGGAAACTAGCCATTTGCGCTGGACAGGATTATAGTGCTTTAGTGTGTGAGCAAACACAGGTGCACTCTATTCCCTCACACCATAGTCCAATGGGACAGTAATCTAACAACTGGAGAGTGACCAGGTGCAAGTCCAATGGCTTAAAGTGCTGTCCGAGGCTTGGAGTGTAATACCACCAACTCAGGAGTCAGAACTCCGAGCTGCTACTGACAATTTCTTGACAGAAAAACCCAATAACTGATTTTGACCCTATCCGACATCAGAACCCAGAACCTGCAATTGTGTTTACGATCATAACCTTTAGGCAGAAGTAAAGCAGATTGCTTAAACTATCGTAGGTGTATGTTGTAGAGCCATGTTACAGCTATATTATGGTTGTAGCACAAATAGGTCGGCTCGACAGTGGTAGGACCATGCTCTCACAGAATACCAGTGTAAAATAGTAGCTTTTAATGCTGCTGTATTTCATATGGTGAGTGTAACCGGAGACCATTTTTACTTGAAACGGGGTATTCCATCTCAGTGCTCAGGGGTGACAATTCATCTACATTTTGATTCTTAGTTGAGGGTAAATGTAGATGTCTATGGGCATCCACTTACCATCAGTGTGGACTGTATGCTCGTATATCATCACCCTTTTTCTGTAAAATAAGGCCTAATACTGGGAAATTCTATGTAATTAGAGTAATCACGATTATTGGGGAATGAAGCATTCATGTCATTATAAAATCAAAAAAATTAAATTAAACTAAAAATTATTTGTGTAAATAAAAATATCTTTTGGGCCTATTCTATATTTTCTTATATTTGCAGGCCAATAACAGCAAGTGACTATAACTTCATGGCTATATAAAAAAACGAAATCTAGAATCCAAAGTAGGTTACTATGATAATCTCTGTACCTGATAGGATTTTGAATTTTAAATAGTTCTAAAAACTTCTACATCTCTATAGAGTGCATTAAAATAATATTTAATGAAATTATAGTTAATAATTCTTTTAAAAGATAACCTTTTGTAGATTATCACAAGCCACAGATTTATTTATGTAGAATAAATTAAATAATTCTCAGTGCTATGCTTACATAATCCATTGTAACACACTTTTTACATTACCAATGCTAATATATTCTAACATCTTCCTCAATATGTATTGTTACTTTTATGTTGTTATGAAAATATAATTATTGTTAAGGAAGTTCATATTTTTAACATTTTGTTTTATCATTATCATTCTGTTACATATGTTGACTGAAGATGCTTGTCAGAAGTGTATCACGAAGACTATGGAGCACATTACGTTATGAAAAAAGGTTTCTGTCTTCTGAACCAGCAAAACCACAACAGGATGTCAATTATGGAGTGGAACCAATTCAGGTATGCTAACCTTAAGAAATGATCACAAATCTTTATTTCTTTCATAACTAAATGTGGTAGAGCTACGCTGCAGCTATATTATGGTAGCAGCACAAATAGGTCAGATCGACTGGGGAAGTACAACACTCTCACAGAATACTATTGTGAAACAGTAGAATAATGCTGCTGTGTTTTATAAGGTAAGTTTAGAAAATTGGAGACCCATTTTACTGGTAAAGAGACATTGCATGTTAGTCCTCACCATTACATGTTAGTCCTCACACAACACATCTGCATTTTGATTCTTATTCAAGGATAAATATAGATGTCTAGGACCACAGTATCCACTCACAATCAAGTGAACTCTGTTCTCGTTTGTCATCTATTATTCTATAAAAACGAAGTGACAAATAAGCTTACAGTCCCCAGAGGGTATGTAGTTGCTGTTGGGGCTACACTCTCGAAATCCAGCTGGTGCTTCGTGGATCACGTTTCGAGATGCATTAAGGGCTGAAGGCTCATACCTTAATCGCCTCGAATCGCGAGGATGATTACCTCTATAAAAACCTACCAAAACGCAATCGTGACATGCCGTGAGGAACTGCATGGCGTGAGGAACTGCATAAGTAAATGTTTAGTCGTTAGCATTACCCTCCGACGGGGTACTGGCTGACATATTCGGCGAGTGATATTTTCCACTCTCCTGGGATAAAACAGAAAATCAATATATCAAAAAACAGGCTAGATCGGAATCAGATGTAAGCCTATTATAGGTGAGGGCTTCTAAGACTGGACTCCGCGCCCATGACGCATCCGGTAACAATGACGCCTTTATGAAAGAGTCAACTTTAGAAAAATCAAAAGAAATGATTCCTTTAAATTGTAAATCTATGGAGTTCGCCGTGCCGGGGCCAGGGCGCGGAGCCTCTTAATATGACTAAGAGACAAGTAAAAGAGAAGGCTCGCGCTGCCAATAAGAAACGTGCCACCCTGGGGCTGCCTAATGTAGTATGACCGTTCGGCTTTAACTGTCAACAAACAGGTCTAAGTCGGCCGTACGTACGGTTTAAATGATGCAGTCACTTTAATTTAAGCTGCCGTGGAGGTACTATATCAGATGTCAGTTAGTGATGAAACTGCCAAATTTCAAGCTGAGAACACTTGTTTGCTTAGTGAAATAGTGGTACTGTCTAAAGAGTTGACTGAACTCCCCACCATCTCCTTGTAGCGTAGTACAAAAAAAATTGATGAGTTAACAAGCTCTTTTATGGGCCTAGTTGGCAACATGGTGAATGTGCGCTTAAAGGCCCTTGTGGGGTGACTTCCAGCATCCACCTTCCGCTGCTGGCGACGTGCGCAAGGTTGCTTCAAATAAGGGAGACATACTGAGATCGAAGTCTCAGCCTAATACGGAGTTTTTGAAAACGAAGGCGAACTAAATTGTTGTGAAAACAAAATCAGTCAATAAAGGAATGAGCGCACTTCTCCTTAAGCTTTTGAGTCCACAGTCAAAAAAATTTAAGGAAGGCGGATTCTTCCAATCCTTACAAGAGACCGGCATCTGTAAGAATACACTCTTCAAGAATAGCAGCTGTATATTATATAAAACTGCATCTAGGGGCTACAGTATCAAATCTCTGTGATACCGCTAGGCAGCTACTGGAAGCCGTATTTTGGAAGTACCAGGAGCAACGAATGGTAAAATGCTAATCAAAATATCCTTGGCTAAAATCATTGCCTGAGAATGTGGCTTAAGTATCTAGATCATTGAAATGCGTAAACATGCATATTTCCGACCGGCTACACCTAGTCAGCAATAAAATAAAATTATTGTATCAATAGGTATATACTGGGTTATTTTTCAAAGAGTACCCTAATTTTAAACTTAAGCAGTTTTTGAAAATACAAGTAAATAAAGTTTTTACTTTTATTTGAAATTATCCCAAATTGAATGTGATTTATAGGCAACAACTACACGTACGCGCACTCCTCTGTGTGCGATTCAATTCACAACGTTTTTGCCGATTGTCCGTGCGTAGTAAAATAATATATTACCATGCATTTTGAATTTAAAAGATAAAAAAGACAGAATGTTTGAGATTTTTTTTAAATAATATGCCTATATTGCTTTTTCTGAACCTTCTCTGCAGTTTTGGCCGGCTATTATATGTTTATCTGTTATTAGTCTGTTAGTAATAACGTTTAAATATTACATTTAGCGTATAAAATTAACTTCATTGATGTTTTTAATGTTTAGTCAGAAGCCTTAGACAAAGATATATGCCTGCTAGTGGATGAAAAGGACAATTTTATTGGCACCGCAACGAAACGGGAGTGTCACAAGGTTGCAGACGATGGCAGTATCTTGTTACATCGCGCCTTCAGTGTATTTCTCTTTAACAAAAGAGGTGATATGCTCCTGCAAAGGAGAGCAAGTCAGAAGGTATATTTTGTTTTAATATTCTTAAAACCTTGTTTCAATTCATTTTCTATTACTTCCATCGACAAAAAAGTAATATCATCAAATTCATTATTTATGTTTTTTTAAACAAGCATATGTTTTTTTTATTATCTGCTGTTTTTATTAAGTTGATTAAAATATATTTATGTGTGGTTTGTTTTATAGATTTTTTAGTAAAGGAACAGGACCTTGTTCTAGACGCGTTTATCTGATCATCATCATCATTACAACCCTTCACAAGTCCACTGCTGAAACACAATATCTCCTAAGATGCCACAAACTACTGTCCTGAGCACGTGCATCCACCGACTTTCTTCAAGCCTTACCAGGTTGTCACTCCATATAGAAAGGTGCCGCCCTACACTTTGTTACCGGTTTAAGGCTGCTAGTTATTAATAATTATTAACTTGTGATGGCCAGATCTCTCTCTCTCTCTCATCTGCTTATAAACTATGATAATGTGCAGACTCAAAAATCATTTATCTATTTTAAGTCCTCACATTTTTTATATGTAACCTTATAAAATTTTAACTAAAAATTTCTCATATATCGTGGTCTATATTTAGTTCTTACTTAACAATTACACTTCGATAGCGCAGTGAATAAAACTGCCGCAACCGCTAAATTGAAACTTTACAAAAGTATTCCATCACTATTATTTCAATACTAGTGCCCCGTCCTGGCTTTGTGTGGGTGGGATCTATTATATGGCCTTATTTTGATTTAAGATAATTTAAAAAGACCATTGATTTCATGAATTTTTCAATTTCACAAAAATCCAATTTTTTCGGATAACATATAGCCCAGATTTCTACTGATATGGCTTTTTTCTTGTTCGTGAAATATCATCACATCGGTTGAGTCGTAGATTGACACGCTCACTGACAGACAGCCAGACAAAATTTTTAAAAATGATTATTACGTCACAATTTCATGCAAATAACAATCCGAGCTCATGAAAAGGCAGTTAATTCGATATTATAGACAGATACTTCAATTTTATTTAGGTATATTTTATAAGTTATATTATTTTCAGGTCACATATCCTGACTATTACACAAATGCTTGCTGCAGTCATCCGCTGTACATAGATGAAAAACCTGAAGATATTATCACAGCGGCTAGACGCAGAATGAACTATGAGCTGGGCATACCCCTAAATCAAGTATGATATTGTTATATACAAAGATTTATTGTTTAGTCAAAAGAAGGTAATTAGTTTTTTTTATAGGATAAAGGTGACAAGCAAACATACAGTCCACCTGATGGTAAGTGGTTGCTGTGGCCCATAGACATCTACATTTATCCTCAATAAAGAATCAAAATGCAGATGCGTTGTCACCCGTGAGGACTAAGATGGAATGCCTCTTTTCCAGTAAAAAGGATCTCCGGTTCTCTACACTCAACATACGAAACACAGCAGCATTAAGCTGCTATTTTACGCTGGTATTCTGTGAGAGTGTGGTCCCCGGTTGAGCTGAGCCATTCGTGCTACAACTATACAATATAGCTGTAGCATGGCTCCTACCATGTTTTAGTTTAGTTTAAGCCGGCCTTTTTTCAGCAACTCTACGTTTAAACGCGTATTTTGCGTGTGGACAGGGATATTACGATTTTTCGAGCCACGAAATCTCGAAGAAGTTCGGGAGTCCTTTGACGTGAAAGGAGGTAATTTATTACATTGTAGATATATAAAGTAAATCTTTTCTATCAGCCTGAGTATATCCCGTTGCATGAAAGTTTTTGGAGCAAGGCATTGCATAGATTATAAAAAACTTTCATGCAACGGGATAGACAAATAACTGTTCTGTCATCGCCAGTCAGACAGCAGTCTGACTGGCGATGACAGAACAGACTTTTTATAAATAACTAATAAGCTGGCTAGCACATTTCACGCTTACTTTAATTCTTTGTCATTAGATGGATCCGGAGCTGTTCACGTTCCTAACTCGCGTGCATTACCACGACCCTGGCGATGGCGTATGGGGCGAGCATGAGATCGACCACATCTTATTCTTCCAGGGTGACGTCAGGGTCAAGCCAAACTCCGACGAGATATCCGAATACTGTTATGTACCTAAAAACGAATTTAATTCGTGAGTATTACTAATATCAATTTTCTATTTTTATTTTATTTTGTCTTTTTTTTTACAGCTTTCACAAATGTCTGTTAACCGATTAATTTTGCAGCAGGTATTTAGATACCACTCGAAAATCAATAAACTCACCAGCAGGGGTGAACACTAAAACGCCATCTTTATAGGAGAATTAGCGGTTAAATTTCTTATACCTTTAACGCTGCTGCCCGTCCAAGACCAGTGTCGTGGTGTTTTAAATCTTGAATAACGAATTGTAAGATTATCTATAGGAGCCCATTATTACTTCCGGTATTATATGGCGTACTTTAGTCGCCAAATACGACATCTCTCTCTCTCTCTCTATCCCTCTCTCTTACGCCTCCGCCACCCGGCAAAAAAGAAGCAATTGCTAAATTTTAACCGCTCCTACAACTTCTGTGAAAGAGGTCTGGTACTGCAAAATGATTTATTTATTACTAGCGATCCGAACCCACTTTGCACGGGTGATTTCTGGATTTCAACAACAGTGCCACCTACCGGGTATAAATGTGAATCTAAACCATTTAAGTACCATTCAAATGGACAGCCGTTTTTGAGTTTTAGTGAGACTAACGGACAGCAATCGATTTCTATAACTGCAATGACTAACCGCCAAACCTATATAATCGAATGAAACGTTTATTGCTAATAAGCGAACTAAAAAAGGTTAATTAATAATTGTTCATAAAAATAACAGTTGATGTCAAAGTAAATAAACAAAAACGGTCTATTCGCTCTGCCCTCACAACTTTCAATTTGGTGACTAATATAGAAAAGTGACAATTTTTACACGTGCCAACGTTGGCCACAATCTAAGACATTTAATTATTAACAAGAGGCCGACGGGACAAAGCGGTCAAACTCGTAATTAATTATATTTGTTTAAAATTGATAGTAGTAAAAACTCATTTGACGATGTAAAGATGCTGTATCCGAAGTATTACACCTTGTTTAGAACTAACAACTTGCTTTTGAATGCCAATAATTTTTTTTATTGCATGCATATTCAATGCATTAAATTTTCTTTGTGAAATGTAAGGCGAGTTACTTCTCATAATATGTTGTACAATAATTGACTCTTGCCTGCAATGGCGACCTCATATTAACGCCTTGTTAGACTTAGTTCCTCTACATAACTATGCAGTAAAAGAGATAATACTGTTAACAGAGGTGCCATACGTAAGCATGTATGATCACGATTTTATACACTTTAGAAATTTTATTTTGGATAATATCTTAGGATCAAGTATATCTTCGATCAAAGACCACACTCTTTCTGGCAAATCAGGCTTATATGTCTACATTGATTCTTTAATCTCATCAGTTATTAGTAATAGAGGTCACAGTCAGCCTGACGACAAAAGCTCAAACATAATACAAAAACAGCTAGAGAACGCAGAGCGGATAATTCAGTAATTATTTACATAGATGCCGTAACAAATAATGCTTCTTATTATAATTTATTCTTCCATATATATTTGATACTGTATTATGTCTACATAGTGTCGACTTACGACCTTCAATCGAAAAATAAAAAAGGTGTTAGTTTTTTTCTAGACACATTATCATTTTAACAAAGGGTGTACAAAAGATTTTATGTAACAAAATATATATTTTGCATTGTAATGGTGAGAAGTTCCAAATTTAATTTGGCATTTATAGTTATGCGAGCCATAATCACAAGTCTGCATTTACAGACAATCTCGAGCTCTAGCTCAAACTTTACAATGTTTTAAAATTTGAGTTTAGTTCGAATAATAAAATGAAGTTAGAATTTAATCTCGAGATTGTCTCTGAATACCTGCCATAATGTCGACGCTTCAGTTCATCAATGTAATAATAATAATGTCCTCCAGACCGAATTTAGGCCACGGCGGCCAGTCTCAACCGAGACTAGCCATCGGCGCAGGACAGGATTATAGTTGCCAAGTGTATGCACAAACACAGGTGCGCTCTCTATTCCCTCACTCTCATAGCCCGATGGGACGGTAAACCGGCACGACCGGAGAGAGATCCGGCGCAGGACCAACGGCTTTACGTGCTTTCCGAGGCACGGGGGTGAGACACTGAGAATTTCTTGATGGAAAAACTCAATAACTGATTTTTGGCTCGACTCGGGATTCGAACCCGGGACCTCGTGATCAGCAGTCGCACTACTGCAACCACTAGACCAACGAGGTAGTCGATCATGTCATCAATGTGAACCAATAACGTCTGAAATCATATTTTATCCCGTAGATTGGGTTATACCGTTTCTCCAACCACAGACGGGGTGGATAATAGGGAATTCACTTTCACGTTCTTTTTCGTTCGTTTCACTTTTTACCCCAAGTACAGTTCAACACATCCATTTTAATTATTAATTAATTTTCAGTAACCACAAACTTAATCAAAAAACATATTATGTAATTGTCGTTACCGTTACAGCCTATTAAAGTCGTAATATTGCATTTAAATCAAATTAAACTTCCTAGTTTTAAATAATATTATTGCGTAATTTATAAATTTTGTGCGTGGTAGAGCCAAGCCGCAGCTATATTAGTAGTATAGTTGTAGCACGAATGGGTCGGCTCGACCGGGGAACGACCACGCTCTCACAGAATACCAGCTTAAAATAGCAGCTTAACACTGCTGTGTTTCGTATGGTGAGTGTAGAGAACCGGAGACCCTTTTTACTGGAAAAGAGGCATTCCATCTTAGTCCTCACGGGTGACAACGCATCTGCATTTATTCTTTATTGAGGATAGATGTGGATGTCTATGGGTCACAGCAACCATCAGGTGGAATGTGTGCTCGTTTGTCACCCTATCCTATAAAAAAATGTTTATAAAAACTATGATTGTCAATCCGTCTGCCAAAAATCGGATAGAGAGGTGCGTGTCCAACATTGAACTTTTAAAGTTAAAAATAACAGTAATAGTATATATGCGTCCCACTCCTGGGCACCGCCTCTCACTTCTAAGAGGGTTTTCAGAGCAATAAAGTGTCCGTCGCGCTGCCCCAATGCGTGGGCAGACTACACATGTCTTTGAATTTTTTTTTTTTATTTCGCAGACATGCCGGTTTCCCCACGGTGATCGACGATCCTTCACCGCCGAGCACGCGGTAAATCCGCACTTAAATTGCAATTAACAATTTCATTTACTGTGAAATTTACAGTGAGCGCTAAGCCCCAGGCCGATAAAAATTACTGTATTTCATTTTGTGTTATATTCCTGAACATAAACTCTATTGGAATCTAAACAAAGAACCAATTTTATTGTTACTATTAGATTGTATGATGACTTTAGGTATTTTTATGCTCAAAATTGTGTAAATTTATTATCAGGCTATTTTTAGTCAGTTTTATGACAACACGCGGCAATGCAAGCAATATGTTGACAAAGTTTTTATTGAAACGGTATGACAGCGCATAAAATACGAACAAAGAAACATTAATTTTACCTATATATTAGAAGATTTTGATTAACTTAATGAGAAATAATGTTAAAGTTCAAATTAGTGTACCTGCTAGCTAAGTAAAAATGAAAAACGTTTTTTGTTTATTTTTCTTTAATAAAAGCTGATAAAAATTTAGTATGGAGTGTGGCCCACTCTTGCTTAAATCACAGCTTGCGTTGGTCTGGACATGCTAGCGAGTATATCTTATGGTTTCTTGCGAAATACGTTCCCGATTCGTTGTAATCACATTCTTTAGCTTCCTAATGGTCTGTGGAGCCGACTGCACTGATCTCACATGACTTCGGGCTGGCCAATCCAAACGACGGATTTCGACCTCTAGCATATACGCTTCCACATCACCAGACTGTTGGGCGCGAGCGTTGTCGTCCATAAAAATTGGGTGTTCACTAAGAGCGACCGATTCGGGTTGTGCATGAGGAATTAGAACTTCCGTTATGTATCGGTGCCCAGTCAGTGTACCGTTTTTGATGAAGACTAACTCCGTACGATTCAACGAAATTATTCCTGGCCAAAACATAACAGAGCCCTCACCATAAAGTGGTCTCCTCGTCTTCGTTGCACTCGCCGACAGCGGTCTACATCGTACAGAGATATTCATCGGAGAAGAATACCCTATTCTAGTATTCTTGAGTCCATGACACACAATTTCGAGCTAAGCTAAGCCTGACAACTCCATTGTCGAACTCGATACTCACAAAGTAATTCAGGACCACGGACTCAGCGATGACTGCTATATTGACATCATACCTGACTCCTGACCGTTCATAGACTAATTTGCACATTTCTTACTTCTTCGATGAGGTTATTTTACGACTACGAGGTTATTCTTGAGGTCCGTCCTACATACGAAGATTTACTACCTTTTCTCAACACTTAACTCACCAGAAAACGATCATTTCGTGGTTCGGTACATGGCGTTCTTCCAGTACCAGACCGTCTTTTAACGGAACCGGACTTATCATAGCGCTTCTAGCCTTTGGACTGTTGAACGACTCACATTTAGCCTCTGAGCTACGAAGCGTTCGCTGCAACCCTCCTCAAGCATGCAATAAATTTGCTGGCTTTTATCACTTTATCTACTATTATATCGCTAAACAGTAATAACAGTACTTTAAAATGTCATAGAAATGACTTAATTCAATAAAAATGGACTAAAAGTTATTTAAAGCACATATTAACTTTCTAGAGTTCGCGCCACAAAATGTAGTGAAAAATTATTTTCTCTAAAAACCAGCATCAGGAAAAAAAATTGAATTTGGAACGTACTCGTACTTTTTTAAACACCACGACATATTCTCTTTGACCACGACACTTATTACGGTCAGTACAGTACATGTTCCAATGGTTAAAATCTGAAAGTTCTAAATCTACAGATGAATGTAATTTGTTTAATATAAAAAAATATCATTTAGGTAAGGTACGTTGGGGTAATACCGGACGGATTTTCGAATAGTTGGAAGAGTCTGCCAAAAACTTTAATTTCTCGACATTCGTATACGTCAGATTTATGGAACATGGAGCAAACCGTTAATCGTTAAACGTAGTTTAGCTCTGAGAATCTTTTGCTTGTGTAAACTCAAGGGTTTCTGCTTTAAAGGTGTGCGAAAACTAGACATACTTTTTTATATGCATAATGAAAAATTGGCCATTAAGGGGTAAGACCGGACTTAAATTTAAAACCACTTCTACTGTTTAGAGAAAAAAGTTTATAAAAGAGATTTGTCCTATCTTTAACGCTCAAAAACATATTTCAATATGATCTATAAATTACTAGAAACATAAATGTTCCAAACGATTTTCTCTTTTTTTGATTCTTGCCATCCGATCTTATCCCTGATATAAAGAAATTGTAATTTTATGTTTCTCAAACTTTGTTATGACATAAGATGGAATTACTCAATATAAGAGAAAGATCGGATGCATTTGATTTTATATGGGAAAAAAAAATAACAGTAAGGACTGGCGAAATGCCCTGGGATAATGCAGGAGTTAAGGAAGATATAAATATTTTAACAAAGCGGCATTTATTATTATAAATTATTTTTTAAATAATTATTATAAATTACATTTTGATTTGTAATAGAGGATAGATATAGATGTCTATGGGCCGCAGCAATCACTTAACATCAGGTGGACTGTGTGCTCCTTTATCACCCTTATCCTATAAAAAAAATGTATTTTAATGTGTACTTAAAAGTAATAAAACCATCATATTGTTTTATTACTTTTAAATATACAGACTTGCTAACGAGACTGAGTCCCATAGTCACTTGAGTAATCAACGAAAAAATATACACGACCAATGAAAGTTTAACAACCACTGCCATATTTGTAACAGGCAAAGATCGGATAATATTCATCCGATCTTCACTCACGAGGGGAAACATCGGATCTCGGCCTACAGCGATCTTACCCCTGCATGGACCAGCTTTATTTAGCTATAACTTCATAAAAATTAGTATCCACACAAAATAATAACAAAAGAAGCCATATTCTCGCTAAAAATCGTAAATAAAAGTGATAGGGAAAGATCGGATGGACAAAAATAATACAAAAATTACATTGTTTTATAAAATGCCACGCAGCACAGGTCCCACTTGCCGGAGTGACTGGCGCGAACTGAGGGTCGGGGCAGGATGAAATGGCGTCGTATAGCATATTGTTAGCTTTTCAAAATATAGCATAATTCGCCGGGAATTTGAATCATACGGTCTTGCCCCATCACCGATCTTACCCCAACGTACCTTATTTCATAAATAATTGTTAACTATTATTGCATGCCGAGCGCAAAGCGCATAGGTATGTTCTACTAGCGCCTAAAAATCAAGATTCCAACGTTTTGTCGCATGAAATCGTATCAAGCAATCATATTATACATATATAAATGATATAAAAAGCACACTGTCAGAAAGATAAATGATTGTTGAACTTATTAATATTTTTTTTAAATCGATTAATTGCTATTTTTACATAAAAAAGGGGTTTTAGTGGCTTATGGTGTGGATTTATTAAGTCCTCAAGGCTTGTAAACACGACAACTTTTGAAAATATCAATTGTTTAACTCAATCTGTCTGTGGCTCGCTCACTAGCTCGCTTAGTTCGGCGCACAGGTCAACCGCCGCGCCGTTGTGAGTGGATACTGTATTGGTTGTTTGCAGCGGCTCAAAAAGATCGCTGTTCAAATAAATACAAAATATTCGAAAAACAAATTTCATACATACTTAATTATTATAATAATCAGAGATTTTTATTACAATATTTTAAAAGCACAGAATAAATAATAGTCGTACGTACTAAAAGTAAGTAGGATGTAATATTTATACTTGAATACGTCTTGGACTTTTTGGAGTGACATGAATGACGATATGATGATCATATGAGCATTATGAGTCTTGACTTTTGGATTTTCCAAACTTGTTTTCAAATTGAAGTTTGACATAAAATTATCGGAAATTGGAAGTATAATAAGGTTATTAGTGAAAATTTGTGTGTATTTAAACTACTTTAAAAAAAAATCCGTATAATCACGCTATACGTAATATTTTTAATGCGAAGGCATGCTCAATTGGTTTTACCAATAGTTTTTTGTTTTGTCCCATGTTGGTCTGGGACTTATAGGTCTCACGTTTGTGGTACATAAAAAAAATATACCAACTGTGTTACTTGCCTAAGATGTCGTAAAATACGACTAATGTGATATTGGGTTTGTGATTGTGTAGACACTGGGATAGCCATCAGTTGTTACACAATTTTCAATCTTAATCCATTTTTTTTTTGCCTCCAGCCTTACGATTACTTTACAGGCATAACGTTATGTATTTATATTACTTGTATGATTTAAAGTTAAATATCAACTCTTAATGGAGTTATTTTAAATGGCTTTTAAATTGAGGTTTAATTAAAACTAATGGTACCCTAGTGGTCGAAATGCGATTGTAATTCATGAAATTATACAAACTTGTATATTAAGCCAGGTGTGTATAACTTTCAACTGCACAATAATAATGAAGCACAAATATTTACTACACAAAATATAAAATAAATGCTTTTTCTTGCCTACATTCCACAGACTATTGAAAAATGATCATTTTTAAATATTTACAAAATTCACAGCATATTTTCAGGTATTATCATCATCATTACAGCCTATCAAAAGTCCACTGCTGAAAAGAGATCTCCCCCATAGTTTACCTCCTGCTGGGGATTTATTCCGTAGTTGGCAAGCGGGTTGGCAACCGCAGTTTTTTTTTATTTCCTTGATATTATTAAGAAGTCGCTGGTGCTAGCATGGTTTGTTTCGCTTTGTGGCCCCTTACGACACCCAAGGGACGATAATATGGGGTAGTGGATGTTCTTACAACGCCATTGACTATAATTGTGTTTAAAATAGTATGAACGTAAACAATATATATCTTTATATATAAAAATTACGTGTCACGTTGTTTGTCCGCGATGAACTCCTAAACTACTGAACTGATATCAATGAAATTTTGCACACTGTGCAATTTCGTCCAACTTGAGAGATAGGATAGTTTTTATCCTGATAAGTGACACTCAATATTTTGTTATTACGAATTTAAGGATTTTTTTATATGAAGGGTCGTTGAAAAGGGCAGAACAACATCTGCCTGGCCAGCTAGTATAACGCTCATTTTGTCATACATCATACCAACATACAATGATTAAGAATAAGTTTTAATACGTGGTAGAGCCATGCTGCAGCTATTTATGGTTGTAGTACGAATGGGTCGGCTCGACCGGGGAAGGACCACGCTCTCACAGAATACCAGCGTAAAATAGCAGCATTACGTTGCTGTGTTTCGTATGGTGAGTGTAGAGATCCGGAGACCCTTTTTACTGGAAACGAGGCATTCCATCTTAGTCCTCACGGGTGGACTGTGTGCTCGTTTGTCACCATTATCCTATAAAAAAATATATATATATATATTTAGTATATTTAACGTTTATTGTAAACACAGATGTCGGAATCGGAAGTTATAAGATTTTTCCAGCATGTCATAAGGCGCCACTTACGATACCCACGCCACGGGAAATGAGAATCTATAAGGCTGTTGTTTGTGTTTTTTTTTACCTTATTTACATTTTACAGGTTCATACCGACCCTTGAAGGACCGTTGACTCCGTGGTTTAACATGATTCGTCGTCATCGACTGAAACTGTGGTGGGACAATCTTCATCGCATTAAGGAACTCGCGGAGCCCGATAAAATAAACAAATTCCTTAACGAAAAATAAATTATTAATTCTTAAATATTAAATGTGTGGTTATTAATATTTTTGTGGATGGAATTATTTATATGAATACATAACTATTCTTTTGATTCTAAGGATACTTCTATTTTTTCTATATAAATTATAAGGCCTAGATGCATTTCTTATGTTACTTAACCTTTAATTATGGTTAATTATTATTTATTATTTACGGCTAATATCATTTTATTGTTTCTTATCGGTAATATATTTTATCCAACAAAGTTTATTGGTTTCATTTACCTTCTATTTTTTTTTGTTTATTGATGTTAATAATACTGAAGATATAATATGTATTATACTATTAAAAAATAAAACCAGAGAAGCACAGAAGCTTCATACAAGTCTTTTGCAACGCACACAAATGAGCGCGGGGTTCACCTGCAGTAGTAAATATCCCCCTATGGCAATCTATGAGGGAATTAGGGTTGCCACCCGTACTATAATATTATTGCGCGCCCCTATTAAGGTCTTGTACATGGCAACACTAGTTACCACTAGCGCCATCTAGTATCGAGTAGCAGCACTAGGAGAGTCAAGATCCTTCTAGAAATTTCGGGACCGATATGTACTCGAACTTACTAGATGTTTCTACAGTAGAAGGTTCTGGAAACTATCTGAGGCCCTATATAAGGCCGGTATAGACCACGACCGGGTCAGTATTGAATTGGCGATACAAGAGAATACTTCGAAGCAATATAACCCGAACTAAAGTGATCAGTAGTACAATTGTGTTTTATTATTAGTGTAGTTTTAAATTGTAATTAGTGTTCTGTACTTAAAGTGTTAATTTTGGTAATTCACTCGGCACTTTTTGTCTCGAATCCCAAGCTCGTAACAATATATAGTATCGTACTATATATCAAATTTCGATTCTCACAGAGTAATTAACACTATATTCAGTCAATTGTACTATATTTTTACCCCTATAAATCAAATGTCGCGGTTTTTTATATTAACTGTGGCTGGAAGACAAGTGTACGGAAATAATTGTTCCAAATTTAATTAAAATTGAATAGTTAATTTATTTTAATATGAATCTACCTAAATTGCTCAGATTTCTATAACTATTTTAAAGGTTGAAGGCCAAAGCGAAGACCAACAACAAATGTATAAGGAAGAATGCATAAAGATTAAAAATAAATGTGTGCTTTTTTTCTGAATTTCCCAAAAGTACTATATTTTTGGCAAAAATACTTTATTTATTCAAAAAAAAGGTAACAACCCGGTAGAGAGATAGAGGGAGGCCAATGTGTAGCAGTGGATTGTATGTAATATATGAATGATTAATATTAAATTTACGAATTTGCTACCGCTAACAAAATTATTCATTCAAAATTGAGAGAAAGTTCAAACCCATTCTGGGTCAATATCTAAAATAAAATCTCGATCTGTTCCACACAAAAAAAAATTTTTAATAAGGCTAATTTCAGATGATCGCACGCAACACTCGTTAGCGTATATCGCCTAAATTAACAACTTCAGTAATGTTGCATTCCCATATCCCCAAATTTAGATGTACCTGAAAGGAATAGCCAAACTTACACATATGCTGTGTGTTTAATATGTGAGTAACGTAATATTTAACGGGCTGCAAATGAGGAAGAAGTTATGTATAATATTTAGTGTATCTATTTTTTTAGACGACATCTACAAAATGAGTTAAACATTTGGCTGATATTTTTATGATAGTATACTCCGACTTTTTGTTTAAGTCCAAAAAAGTAAATTTATTCGAAAACAGGCTTTAACAACTCGTCAGAACTATTAATATCCGATGCAGACGAACTCGAGTATCTTCTCAAACCCGTCCTCGAACTTCCCGTAACCCATTGCAGGGTGCGCGATTGTTTTATCTGTTTCTTCCTTAAAGCTTTTCTTTTGGCGGTCGCCGTCTGCTGCACCTTGCTGTCTGTCGCGGAACGTAATAAGTAAGCATAGCACGTGATTTGATTGCCACAGTGTAAGCCATTTTTATATGCCGTGTGTAAGTACCGTACAGCTATCATTTGCAGAATCTGTAAAACAAAATTTAATCTGTGGCGAGGTGGCTAGGAAAATTGCCGCCTTTTTCATTCATACATATATTCCAGCTTATCATAGTCCACTGCTGAACATGGGCCTTTCCATAGATTGCCTTATAAGAGCAATAGTTCGCATGCTCGGTAGGCGGCTTGACAACCGGCCTTTTATTTTCTAGTTATTATTAAAAAGGCGCTGCTACCCATCTTTGAGCGTAGAAGGAAAAGGGGAGATCTCCCGCCGGGCATCTTGTCCGGCCCGGGTAGCAGGCAACGCTCTGAATGGTAGTTCGGAACTATTCTATTTATAGATACTGCTTTTCTTCGGAAATTTGATAGCGCGATTTAGAGATCACACACAGTCAATATGACCACTATGATAACATATTTGGTTACTTTCGACAGTTGCTATAGTTTGGTGGCCACAGAGGGAAACTGGTGCAGGAGATGGGCAGCAGCATCTTTCTGGTCTCATAATTATAAAGACTGGTTACGAACCTGCCAGCCAAGCGTGGCAACTATGGCAAAATCCCCCCTATCAGGCAATCTATGGGGGAGGCCTACGTTCAGCAATGAACTATTATAGCCTGTAATAGAAATGGATACCAAAACTGTCAGAAAGATATGCCTTCCGATAGATGGCGGAAGATATACATCTCATTTGAGGTTCGATACGTCTAGTCTAGACAAATATTTTTAATGGGAGAGCAGTGGAGTTATAAGAGCTGATGAAGAAGAACCAACCATCTTTAATATCATCAAGGACATTACAGCATTAAACCGCCAGGACACCGACATCATCTCGTTGATCAGTTTCTCTTCGCAACCTTCCGACCAGATCGTGAGCTGTTTCTGAAATTTTTTAAATGCATATAAAAATATTAAAAAGTAAATAAGTAATATATACATATAAATAACTGCCTCTTATCGAGCTTAGGGGTTATTTGCACGCAATTAAAACATGATATACGTGGTAGAGCCATGCTGCAGCTATATTAGTAGTATAGTTGTAGCACGAATGGGTCGGCTCGACCGGGGAAGGACCTCGCTCTCACAGAATACCAGCGTAAAATAGCAGCTTAACACTGCTGTGTTTCGTATGGTGAGTGTAGAGAACCGGAGACCCTTTTTACTGGAAAAGAAGCATTCCATCTTAGTCTTCACGGGTGACAACGCATCTGTATTTTGATTCGTAAACGAGGATGAATGTAGATGTCTATGGGCCACAGCAAACACTTACCATCAGGTGGACTGTGTGCTCGTTTATCATCCTATCCTATAAAAAAAAACATGAATAACCATTTGCAAAATGGTGTGTCTGTCTATATGTCAGTCTGGCTGTCTGAAGCGATTCTGTTAAAACTTATTGACAGTTAGAGAGCAAAGTTGATCATGATCGTGATGATGCCTGATCTAACTTGTATTTTATCCGAAATATTTGGAGTGTTTTGTTGAAAAATCGTCATTGATGATTATTTTACAAATTATGAATGATGCCTCATAAACCTAACCGCCGCATAACCCAGAAGAAGCCAAGGCAACTAGCTAGTATAGTATAAAATTCTGTGAACAAGTAACATTATTTAAACTCATCCGAATCCACACTTCCACGTCGTGCACCCCGCTACATAACAAATTAAGCCTTAGCCACAGGGTACTTTTGACTTAGCGACAGACCGCTAGCAGCGTTGAATACACTACTTAGAAAATGTTAAAGACAAATATCGCAAACGTTTTGGTGGGAATTTGACCGCTGCGCGGCGGATCGCTTCTCTGAAGCACTCGCGATACTTTTAGCATCCGCGATTAGCGATTTAATTGCTTGCTTTTCGGAAGTTGCAATGTTACAAAGCGCTTCAATCCACATCTACGCATGCAAAATCCATAAGGTGTCCTTATGGATTTTGCATGTGTATTTTTCAATCCTTCTTCAAAGCTAGATAAATAGATACAGCGACGGCCATGCGGATCGCTGATGCAAATAAGTAATATCGTGTGTGTTTTGGCCCTTATTGTATTATAATGGTTTGAAGTGGATTTTTATACGTAAAAGTAATGCAATTTTGTGTAATAAATGTCTGCGCATGTGAATTATTAGCGGAAACTGCGAAACAAATGCTCCAATATGTGATCACGATAACGATATATATATTCTCTATACTCACCATACGTAACACAGCAGCATTACGCTGCTATTTTACTTGATTTTGATTATACAAAACATTTTCTTTTTTCTTTTTTATTGGATAATTCTCTGTTTTAACTAATATGTGGATCAGCTCCGAAAAGTTTGTTATCCATTTAGAATAAGCAATCATCTAAGTGACGTTACGTCACGAGGAGCAGGCAAATACATTAAAAGTATATCTGTAAGACGGTCTGGTGTAATGATGTGATTAGGTATACTATATCCGAGATAGTAGATAAAATTTGCAGTTATCTTTATTTTTATTATGCTCCTCTTGAATTTTACCGCAGACGATTATGTAATCAAGTTTATTTCAGCTTTTCTATCCTGATCACCCAGTAAATTGTTCTTTAAAAACTTGAACCACTATTGTTTACCCCAAAACGAATACGTCTGAATTGGAACAAGTTTCCATCAGCTTCAAACGCAAATAGATACATCCTTGAAGCGAAGATAAAAATAAGCGAAGTGAAAGATCACAAACGAAGGTCACAGATCACAAAAAAGGCACCCGTCACGTTCCAGGCACCTGCAACTAACTCCAATAAAGAAAATCTTCGGATCCCGCGCCGACGTCACAGTGAACGAGTGAAGCCGGCTATAGTCGAGCGAGTGGCTGCTGTACTGCCATATGTCAGAGGTGTCACTGACAAGATTGGCTACATCTTGAAGCGTGCTTCCATTAAAACATACTTCAAGCCGCCGAAGAAGATTAGTCAATTTTTACTACCAGTCAAGGGTAATGTCCCTCTGCAAGATGCAGGAGTGTACAAGCTTGATTGTGAATGTGGTCTCTCATATATAGGACAAAGTAAAAGATCAATATAAACCCGCGTTAAAGAACACAGCTGATATGAAGAATCGACGCTCCGGGAAGTCTGCAGTCTGTGAACACGTACAGGATCGCCATCGTCACTACATTAGATTTGATAGACCACAAATCCTCGCTAAAGAACACCGATTCCTTCCAAGGATGATTCGCGAGGCTATTGAAATCAAAAAACGTCCTAATTTCAAAAGAGAAGATGGCTGGGTGCTACCATCTGCTTGGGATCCTATAATTAATAAAATTAAATTCCAACCCAAGCATACAACTGCAAGACTTCAAGATACTGTAAGTTCATACTGCATAGATCGGAAAAAAAATTAATAACTTTTAATCTGGAGGTAGCCGTGGTTAACTATGACATTGGGATGTCAAACACCTCAGTCTCCCCGTGACCATGAGCGCTGTAAAGTACTCGAAACGTCGGGAATATAAAATAAGTTAATATAGGCAATAAAATCCGTAAGACTAGTTTTATTTAAATGTTGTGTTCAAGTAAATATAAGAAAGCATTATCTAATAAAGAATACTACCGATGCATTATCACCTCTGAGGACTAAGATTGAATGTCACACAGCTCACAGCCAGTATCTTTCTATAGCCTTCAGAACGGAACATAGCATTGCTACACTGTTATTTGGTGGTAGTAATAGGTAAGATGGTGGTTCCTAATCAGACACACGCTTAAGCAGAAAAGTAGTGCTACCAGCCTGTCACCTAGAAAAAGTATGTAAGGCTAAAAAGAAAAGTGGTTTGCAAGAAGATCCTAATCTAGATTAAGAAAGCAATGATACGATGGTTTGGACACGTAGAGAGAATGAATGAGTAAAGAGCGACGACGAAATTTATGTTGCAGAATGAGTAGCAGAGTCCTCAAGGAACATCTAAGACGAAAGTTTATCGACCAAATTGACGATACATTGATGATGGGCCAAATTAAGTGTACCCTTAACCGACGTCCATGTATGCGTAGTTATAAGAATGTGACAGAAGTGAGAGATAGTTCTGGATTGTGCTAAATGAAAGTCCGTAATCTCTGCCTACCCTCTTGTGACAAGCATGAGAGCTATTATATTATGATCATTTGATTGATGATTAGCACTCTTAAGATCGATATTGCTATAGTAGTATATTTCCAGATTACTGTGGTTGTATGGTTGTTTATTTTATTTTATTGGTTATTTATTACATTTATTTATTTATTTAATATTTATTGCATTCCTATAGAAGAACACAATGGGCGAACTCTATGCCTGTGTGCGTTATTTAGTAGAATTGACTAAGAGACCTGTGGGTAATAAAGCCTAGCTAAGGGAAAATCGAATTACGGGTCGGATTACGAGGGCGACACTGAAAGTTTTTAGAACTGGCCACTTGTAAACGATATTATTAACATTCATTGCTCTGCGGATGACAGCACTGTTGATGCTTTATACACCGGCCGTGCCAATATTTCTCGGGAAAACGTCGCGGAGTACCGGAACAAACGTGTCTGAAGTCGAGTCTTTGCTGAACAAAGTCTCGGATTGGGGGCGACTAAATCTAATCCAGTTTAATCCTCAGAAGACACAAGTTTCGCGTTTACCGCTAAAAAATACCCCTTTGTCGTATCTCCTCAGTTTCAAGGCACTCCCCTTGTTGCCTCAGCCAGTATCGGAATTGAGGTTCGGCTTCACATGGAATACTGCCACCAGTGCCAGCTCCTTCCACTTGACCACATCCAGCGCAGAGCGGCTTGAATCGTCGACGACCGAGTCCTTTTCGATCGGCTCGATTCATTGGCACTGCGAAGAGATGTTGCATCCCTTTGCATTTTTTTTTCGCATTTACCACGGGGAGTGCTCTGAGGAATTGTTCGGATTAATCCCAACCGCCAAATTTCACGATCATACATCGCGGCAGAACTCCCGATACCATCCATACCATCTGGGTGATTGGTGGTCCACCACTGTGCGATTTAGAAGATGTTTTCTTCCTCGCACAACTTCCTTGTGGAATCGATTACCATCAGCGATTTTTCCGGACCGATACGACTTAGGGACCTTCAAGAAAAGAGCCTACTCCTTTTTAAAATGCCGGGCAACGCATCTGCAATTCCCCTGGTTCCCCTGGTGTTGCAGTTGTTCATGGGCGGCGGTAGTCACTTACCATCAGGTGAGCCGCATGCTCGTTTGCCCCCTCTCCTATATAAAAAAAGATATAATAAAAAAATAAGTTCAAATTTTGAAAATGGAACTCTGCTGATATTACTGTGTATGTATTTTATTAATTTTGATTACGATTTGGCTGCAAATTGAAAATTGTCTGTGTCACGTCAGCATGAATTTTACGCGAGAAAGTTTTCGTACAATGATATTTTCTGACTTTCGGTGTCATTTAAGTCAACTAGAAAGTTAGACTTTGATTGGCATTTCACGATGAAGCCTTATCTTGTGCCACTGTTTACAACTGGTTTAATGAGCTTAAACGTGGTCGCAAAAATTTCACCGATGATCTGCGTGACGGACGGCCTTCTACGGCGACGATTGAATATAACATCAGTGTTATGCAGCGTATGATAGAGACTGACATAATTTAAAATTTTCTACAGCCGACTTCAATGTAAGTTATTAAGAATAACTAAAATAACTCAAAAACTATTGGTCTAACCTTGATCAAATTCATATGGGACCACACGAGAAGTATCAGCTTTCATATAAAAAAAGAATCATCGAAATCGGTCCACCCAGTAAAAAGTTATGAGGTAATACACATAAAAAAAAAAACATACGCGTCGAATTGAGTAACGTCTCCTTTTCGGAAGTCGGCAGAAAAGAGTGACTTATCAGCAGATTCGGA